TGTACAGGCTTATGCTCAGCAGGATGGCTCTAACGTTTATTCAAAAAATGAGGACTACTCTAAATTAATCAGTAAACTAGGGCGGTACTAGGCAATAAATTTATCGACATGTGTGCATTAGGGGGGGGTTCCATTGCCCAGACCAAATAAAAGTGACGAAGGTGAACAAACAACTGTAATTGAAAAAATGCCACATGTGAAAAGATGTGAAAATTATTTTCCATTAAGAAGCATGTCAATGAAGTTGCTATGCCAATTGCTCGCCTGTTAGCTGTCAGTCATACCTCATCTACAGACACTCGTGCACACCAGATTTGGAGCCAAGTCTGTTCTAGATGTGAGCAGTATTAACTTCACTTTATTTCCTAGGTTATAATTACTATCCGACGCCTAATCACTGAGAAAAGCACTAGTTTTACTTCAAAAAGATGTGCATGGATCACCTAACAGTTCCGTAAACCACTCGAATGGATGGCGAGAAGGCAAAGGTGATTTTAATTTGCTTTTCTTAGTCATGCTAACATGGACTCTGTCAGTAGAGCATTTACCCTAGGAATCAAGCCGAAGGATTCCTTGCGCTAATGTTAAACCACTGTCGATAGAGTAAAGTCGAAACAGTGTGTATATTGAGAAGACTACAATAATCAGGCCAAATCGTGGGTTGTTAGAAAAGACAGAAAGCAGCAGAATGAGGAATTGATTGCGTATAGAACTCCACTTTGCTATCTCAGACGGCAGGGGCCAGTGGCGAAGTCAGGGCTAGTGTTGACTGCGTCCAGTCATGCCTGAGAGGAATTGAGACAGTGGTGACAGCTGCTTTAGTGCGATTGCGGAGCAGGTTAAAATGTTCTCAAATTGGTGTGTGTGTCCTGCTGGACACTTTTGCCATTCCGGCAGACTAGCCAGTTCCCGAACCTAATGCTGCACCCCCTTCGGATGCACCGCTTTCGGTATCAGTTCATGGCCCCGCACCTGTAAACCGAAAACTGTCCTCAACACGCCAGACAAGTCGTGTTCGCGGATAAACGCAGCCCACGCAGGTCAATCCACACCATAAGCGGTACTGACGCACTTGAAAGAGATGTGTTTGGAATAGCTCTATTCCCACGATGAGTCATCGCACAGAAAGGCGCCTTGAGCGCGCTGCCACGCTGCTGCCATGTGTAGCGACCCAGACCGAACCAGGTGTGTTTGAGTGGGCTAACGGCACTCAACTTGCTTTTTTGGAACGGCTCTGGGATATCGTCCGCCTCTGCCTTCGGATCGTCGATAAGTCATATTCCGCTTCTGTCCAAGTTCCTCGAACTTTCATATCATTTTTATGTCGCACTAACATATTTTTTTCAATCCTGTGATGAATTCTAGTCTTCCGTTTACAGTTTCATCGCTATACTTTCCTTCACGTTTTGTACGCATTTCCTTTGTTTCCACGCTACCCTACGCCACTCAATATATATCCGATTTACGTTTTATATTCAGGTTGTGTCATAGTTTATCCTTCCTTATACTGTTCGTGCTCGTTTCTACCTAATAAACAGTTATACTACTATTCAATCCTTACTAATGTCGGTTTACGACTGGATGTCGGCAGACTCTGACCGTGTAGATGTTATAAGAATACCTGACGAGAACTCTGATGTGCCCCCTTTATTTCAGAACACACCAGTGTTCGTGAACATCAGATAGGGGTCTGTTCATTCCAACCCTTTTCTACCCGATCGGAACGTGAATACAAATCCGTTTGCTGAACCCCCTCCTCAAATCACCGGTCCGTCAGGCGAGATTCTACTACAGAATAGCCAACCGTCGTTGAATCGCCCACCGACCTTCCGTTCGGACGCCACACATGAGAGCGCACAGAGTGGCTATCGATTTTTCGTCAGATCTGATTGGTCCGTGTCTCGGACGCTGTATAACCAAGAGGACCAATAAATAAACGCAGCGTTTTTGTGAGAATGACTTGTCGTTTGTGAATACAGTTCTTTGCCGAATGTGGTTTTTGCAGACGGCTGGAATGCTCGATCACATTACGGCCTCCTGATTCCGGGGTAATAAAAGTATTGTTTTGTGGTCAACGGGTTTCAAGCAGCTGAGCAATCGTTAGCGGTCCCGCAAACTACGTTTTCTGGACTGCACAGCTGAAGTACCTAAAGAGCGGCAAGATTCGTGGCCGCTGCCTTATATTACTTAGACTCTGTAATTATTTCCAGCATAACTTATACAATTTCCAACTTTCCATCAGTAAAGACAGGCAACAGAATGGTTTAAGAAAATTATTTTCCTCGCCCTGAAAACACAAATAAATCCTACCCCCTCTTCCGCGTGTTTGGCATGCCCAGACACCTTTAAATCCTCCACTTCAGCTCTTGCCATTTTTATCTTTCAATATCCCGTCAAAACGCACATTATTTTATAGACTAAATTATTATTAACAAGTAAAGCACCTTGGGAACGAATGAAGTCTATTGTGTAAATTTTTGATTTTGGTCCTCCAACTTGTCGTCAAAGGAATGAGAGAAGTACGAACCAGTTAACTTGACACTATGGCTAATTCTAAGGTTGGCCAGCGTGTAAGCCAATGAGCGTCACCTGCGTTTAGTTATCCGGTCGATACTGACTGTTTATGTTCCCAAATGACCTTGGGAACTTTGTAATGGGCATTTAAACCGATATGCATGTTACTGTATGCCTTGTCCGAGTGCATTGCCTACAGCAATTCGAAGCCCTCCCTAGTTGGACAGACGCCAAAGTTTTGGGTATCCTCCCATGCAAATTTATGCTCTCAAGTTTGCAAAAGAACACCGGAATAAGCACCAGAGATCATGCTAGTGCTCACCGGAATGAAGCTACCCGGCAGGGCATTACGACTGCCTTGTCCACTTCCCTCCCTCCCTTGGCCGCAGACAATCCGCGGTGTGCCTTCATCGATGAGGGTCTACCGAGCTGTCGTCAGCGGATCTCTTAAAAATGAAACTTTCTACACGGATGTGGAAGGCTTATCTATCCTCTTCCAGCCCTGGTCGACCTGTGGCGGATCATTGACCTCGAACAACGCCCGCTGGCACGTATCAACGGATCTTTCTGAGAATATATATTCCGCTAAGGGAATGAGCCTTCTCTCTTCTATTTTGCCGGACCCGACTATTTCCTGAAATTTTTATGGATCGCCTACGGTATTGCATAGCCTACCGGTTCATGCTCTTACTTACGGTGATGAATCTGCTTCTTTCCTCC